ATTATACAAAGAAAAAAACCATTGAAATGTGAAATTAATTTCGAGAAAATAGGAAAGGCAATAAGTATATTTACTTTATTTTCTACTAGCATTGGTAGAGTTTTAGATATTATACAACAGAAAGAGGAGAGAGGGGGATATGGACGACAAGAAATAAATGCGCGCAATATGGTAGGATGAATCTTTGCAAATATGACATCCAAATTTGGACAACTAATTGTGTGTAATTTGCACCGAAACTCGAATCCTGAACCCGTATTAATTGGACTATGTTATGCACATATATATATATAAAACAGAGGGAGAAAATTTCTGAATTATGTTAATGGAGGATGCATCTGAATTTCTCTCACAACGTTTTGAAAAATGGATTTACCTTTCAAACTAATTATTAAAATCTTCCTTATTCGAATACCAATATTGTTTGGATCTAAAAAAATCAATATGAAATACACGTATAATGTGTATATTGCATAACAGAATAAGCAGCAAAATTCGTGATTATTATTATACGAAAAGTATATCTTTATTTAAAATGAATTCAGAAAGTAAACAAAATCACGAAAAGAAAGAAGTATAAGTTTGCATTCCAATTCCATTCCAACTTCATTTATGAAATCCGTCAATCTAATTTTCTAACAACTCTCGACCCTACAAATTAACCCTACGTTACACTATAACGCGGTTTTGTCGAAAACCAATATCGGCCCACTTACGATTTATCCATATTCATTAGCGGTTCATACCAACGGGGCTGCCTACCAATCAACGCCGATAATTATCCGCGTAATTAGGCCGAGACCGGTTCAAACACGGCCCATTTCCACGGACCTGTATTTCGCTTAGATATTCCCAGAAATTGAAGCGATATCCCATTTATTTTTTCACGAGTACGGAAATTATGCGATCCACGAACGTATCATAATCATCGGCCAAATGTTCGTTTCTCGCGCGAATTGGAATCGCGCCTTTCGATTTAACGATACCACTCGGTCGAAAGGGAGAGCAAAATGAAAAGTTGGGGCGTCGTGTGTTTGGCCATTCGATTCGTATTTACCAATTTTGACGATCGATGAATCCTCTTTGCGATTGTTAATCACTCGTGAGGGAGATGGAAAATATTTGTCGATGATAAAACGAGGAAAGGAGCGAAACTTTCGACGCGAAACAGATATCGGTTAATCGAATGAAAATCGAAATTCTCGTGCGTGGACAGCCAATTAATCGGAGTCGAGGAAAAAATCGCCGTTGTAAGCTTTTGCTGACCGTGTTCCACTGTTTCGTTTCAAACGATTAACAATATCGATATATCCGGGATTTAATGCACCGCGAAAATTCTCTACGCGTGCAACTTCGCCCCTCTTTCATTTTATCCCGATCTTAGGCAAATAAATTGCAAATTTGCTGAGTTAATCGGACGAGATTTCTTGATTACGCTTAAACTTGTTTATTTTGACCGATAATATTCCATTTATTCGACGATACGATACTTTTATAATTAAATTTTATTATTCTGATAATTTGAAAATTTTCATTAAATCGCGAAAAGAAGAATTTATTCATTCACATATCTTTTAATCGTGAAACAACGAAGCGAATTCCTTTTGTCCATCGAATTCGTCGAATCCCCGTTGCATGAATTATAACATAGAAATTCTGTCTAATTATTATTACCTGAGAAATAATTTAATAAAATCGATCTCTTCGATACCGATCAATTCCAATATAATCAATTCGCTCTTAATTACCATCAAACGAAGAAAAAAAAAAAAACAAAAATTTTACATTTTTCTTCACGATGCACGGGAATGTCCACCTCTCCCCGCGCTCCAAATCGCCAATTATCCCGTGCAAATAGGCGAAAAGCAAACGTGCATCACGATTTTCATCGTGAGTTAACCAGATTCCAGCCGGAATTCCAAAACTGACGGGCTAATTTGTACGCGATACGCGATTCCCGATCGATCGAATGCCCGGAATATCTCGATCGTCAAACCTGTGGGGACCACGTCATCCTCTCCCTTAGACGCGTCAATTCGAATCCCAAACGGCGCAGAGGACGCGTTGTCGGTGTCTGTGAAAAGCGCAAGTTCTTCTTTCTCATCCCTCCTCCCCTCTTTATTAGAATATTCTCGCGTTGATTAGACGATCGGCACGAGTATTGGTCGAAATTTTGGCGGAAAGTTATCGCTTGAATTCGAGACGTTGAAAAATTCTAAGAATTTCGCGTGGTTTTAATTCAAGTAGGATATTACGAGGCGAGTAGTATTAATGATAAATAGTGATTGCGATATTTTATTATTCTAACGTAAATTTATCCTCTTTGATCTTCTATTGCATAATATTGGAAATAATATTGAAAATATTGAAAGGAAAACGAATCTTCTAATTCTATAACATAATCAGAGTATTATAAAGTAATGGAATATTTTTAAATTTCTGAAAGGATACCCAGTTATCCCCGTATCTTAAGGATCCATTTTCGATCGAATTCTAGAATTTCCTTTTTCTCACAGTCGAATGTTTATCCAGCCAACTTTATTCTGAACTGCGCTATTAAAAAACTCTTTATCTTTATCAGAAGCACGAGTCAAAAGTTGGAATTAAAAGGGAAAAAACCTAGCAACAATGCGACGAAAAGTGAGCAACAAAAGACAATGCGTTTCAAGGGTGGATTAAGGGGTGAACACGAGGAAGAGGATGATATCTGGGTATCGAGTTATTGTTCCGTAGGTGCACGCTGGGATTGGCAATATCGTACGGCTCGTATCCCGGAGAAGAAGGAAACGTTGGAACTGGATTCCCCCGGGAACTTATTCATCCCTGAATAAGTCGGGACTCGTGTGTATCGGCACGCCGTGTATTCCATATCTATGGAAGCTCACACTCTCCTCCCTTAACAATCCCTGGATTTGACGATTTTTCGTGAATTAAAAGGCTACGAAATTTAAAGGCCACTTTTTCCAATCTCCTGGAAATCGACTTGTTTTTTAGCCAATTTGCATTCGCGTGTTGTTCTCGTTCCTGTCGTTTCAAATTATGGATATAATATATAAATATATATATATATTACTTTTATTTTTATTCTGATTCGATACATTCGAGATTGGAGAAATGATAATTCTTCGTACATAAAGTTGTCGCGTCCAATGAACGAAACGTGTATTATTCGAAAAAAAAATATTAATTTGCAACGAATATACAATTCAGAGATATAACACATTTTAACAAATTTTTTCCTCTTCCTCTTGTATTTGGATAAAACAAGTAATTATATAAATCTTATCCAAGAATCTTTCTCTTATTTCCTTGTCACTGGTCAAAATTTCGGTATTTAAATTCCCATCCATCTCAGTTCTATCATATCCTCGCTTCCAACCAATTTTTCACAAACCCGCGAACGAGACGACAATTAAACTCTCGACGTCCACGGCGTCCCATTGTGGATCCATCGCACCTTTCGCTTTCGAAGAGAGAGCTCGCTGGAGGTCGGGTCGGATCCTCCATTTGTCGAATGCAATGGAAGAAAAAAAAAAGAGAAACAAGGCTCGCGAAATGGAACATCTGCGACTCCTCCCCTCTCTGGATCGATATTAGAGGAGGAAAAGAAAGACAGAAATCAATTTCTAACAAAACAATTTCGTGCTCGGTGTCGGTTCATCCGAGGACAAAGGATTCCGCGTTGTTTCGGGCCGTCTTTCATTCCGCATCGAGGAAGAATTGATGAAATTAGAGGGTGGACGCGAATACAGTTGTTGAACTTTGGCCGGAAATCGAATAACGGCCGGGATGGAAGCGTGCCTACGTTTAAAATGTTTCCTTTCTATGACGGTATATCCGCGGGATTGAGTTTCGTTTGCGATCGATGGAACGGAATTTATCGTTGTTCGGCGTGTTTCAGAATTGGAAAATAATTTTTCTTCGAAAACTAAGCCCGCGTGTGCCTGGTTTCACCTCGGGATCGAGTTTTCCAATGGAATAAGAGAAAAGGAGGAAAAAAAGAGGATTATTGAGAGGAGAGGTAATTAGGTTGTTTTTTCGAGAGAGGATTAAAATTGTTGCTCTTCGTTTATCGAATGAATACTTCTAATGATGATCGAATCATCTTTTTGGAATATCACGTGATCGTAAAAGTTCGAAAGAAAATTCTGTCCCGAAAAATTGTATTTTTTTTTTTTTTGGCCGAGGGAAACGGAGGAAGAATGAGAAGCGTGAAGAGGCTTAGGCTTTATAAGGGTTGCTTATCCGTTTAAAGAGATACTCGACGATTTAAACGGAGTTTGCTACGTGATTAGCAGCGGAAACGGGTTTTAATTGCACGTTCTAACATTTTCACCGGGAATATCTCTCAAGTAGAATAACAAACAACCTATTTAAAGCTTTTCTTTTTTTCATTCAATTTGATGAATATCACTCGGAACTACTTCAGAAATTCAGATAATAATTATAACGTGTCTCTTCAACATGATGCATGCAATTAATACAAGTGTTATTATTAACCGTGTCACAAATTGGCCTTTTAAAACTGAGAGAGTTAAAAAAAAAAAAAAAGGAATACACTATTAATCTCTCTCGTCTGATCCAACTGATAGCGAACAAAAAAAAAAAGAAAAACTATTATTATCGATTCGATAAAAATTCACGAGAATGCAAGAATTGTAAAAGCATTTGTCAAGTCTTTCTTTCTCTCCTTTTTTTTTTTCTCCTCCCCATCGAAATAAAATTTTTATTAAAATCGTTGATCCACGAAACGATCCGTGACATTTTTCAGAAAGAAATATACACACGTATCTGCAACATTTATACACGCATGATGCAAATAAAAATAGGATTATATTTCACAGTGCGGTTCCTGTTACCGATCCTGTTATAAAATTTATACGAGTCACTGTTCCGCGATTCGATCGCATTTTTTTTTTATTTTCATTCTTTATATATACATATGTGTGTGTGTCTGTGTGTGTATATATATAAAATCGTTGGGAATTGTTCGATTACAGGCGCGACGGGGTTGAAGGATTTGACGATCAACGTGCCAGCGGTTGTGCGATCGGGCGACACAGTGACACTCTCCTGCCATTACGATCTCGAAGGATTGCCATTGTACACGATACAATGGTTCCTCGAAGACACGGAATTTTATCGATACCTGTCCGGCACGGATCCGCCCTACACCATATTCGAGGTCGATGGAATACACGTGAACGTGAGTATTTCACGATATTTTATCCGATTTGGGAATAATTGCTAGAACAGAGTTGCTCGAATAATTTAATTCCAAACCAATTATTCTCTATTCATAAAAAGAGAAGAAATAATTATTTCCTCCTCCTCGAGTTTTTTGGAAGAATCTCGAGCATGCACGATAATATTTATATATATATATGTATATAAATTAATAATAGATAAATGATTAATAAAAAAAATATTTCCCGTAACGATTTCTATCGATCGATATCGGTTCGATTATGGAAATTCGAATGAGAATGGAGGGCACGATTTAAATTAAATCGACTCGCGTGTACGAAGCTGCGAAGGCAGGAGGATTGAACGGCGAGGCAGACTCGCGCAATATGTTTCTGCAAAATTTCTCCCCCTGAAACGTTGTTAATTACGCCGGGAACAGTGTCTTCCCGGGGGGTGGGGCGGGGCCCCGAAAACGCTTGTTGCGCCGCCTAAACGCGCGCAATTAAACTTCGCCTCTCTTAACGAGCACTTCAATAAAAGTTTATGACGGGAAATCTCATTAAGTTCCGTTCGTTAGATTCTCGCGTTGGTCCACTTTGGGCGGGGCGGGGCGGGGGAATGAAAATCCATCCGCCGATTTTAATCCCCATATTTTAAAAGCTGCCTCTTGCGACAGTATATCGACCCGATGGATCAATGGAAAAAGTTGATGATTTACTTTTAGGAAGATTGATTTTGAAGGGTGTGAAAGAATTTAAGAATGATAAATTATTATTATTATTATTATTATTATTATTATTCGATGCGTTAATATTACTCGTTAAATTAAATTATCGTGAATAATAATATGCCAACGTTATTTGAATGTAATTTGTTTTCTCTGTGCGAAGAACGAAAATAATAAATTGGAAGGGTTGCGTGATCGATCAATATGTCGTGTGTATATGATAATTCTCTTAAATTATAACAAAGAAATATTGTACGCAGTGCAATTGTAAGAGGATCGAAACTGTTCGACATTTCTGTCCGAGTTTGTTTTTCAACACGCCCCAAAAAAGTGAAGGGAAGCAAGCGTGATATCACGTCACAACGCTCGATGCAACGCGCTATTGGTTAGAAAAAAGGCACGAATTGCGTTTCACGATATATATAATAAAAAAAAAAAATGAGTAAACGGGAAATAAATGGAAAATAATGGAGTTGAGACGGGTCAAAGGACATAACTCCATTAAACCCGAATGAAATTACGATGTACTACTACGAGGTTTCTCCACGAACCTTTCTCCACTCTCTTTCCATAAACTTTCCATCTTCAACAATTTCCGAAATAAAAAAATAAATAAATAAATAAAGCAACGTATCATTGTAAACCTGCGAAATATTCGCCCATAAATAGAAAAACCCGCTTTAAAGAAGAGAAAGAGAGAGAGAAAAGAAAGTGATTCGAACAACCCCCATGATAAAAAAGCCCAGGAATTCGATAAAAATTCGCCAGAGTGGTTACACCCCCTTTTAACCGTGCATCGAGGAATATATATATATCTCTCTCTCTCTCTTAACCGAGAAAAAAAGGGTGTCCCTTCGTTCGGTTGATAAATTTCCAAGAGGCGACGTCCATTTATCAGTCCTGTCCTGCATTTCGAAAGAGTGCGAAGATAAGAAGCCTCCCCTCTTGTCTCGATTTCCTATTTCACCTTCTTCCATTATTATCCTCAACTGCACTCGATATCGAGCCCCTCTTTCTTCTTTACTAACTTTCCAAATTTCCCCCTCCCAAACAACACTGGTGGGTCGAAGGAATGTCGAACGAGTGAGGACTTGAACTTTTGACAATGGGGGAATGCGTGAATTTTTGTCGGCCGCGGTTGGTTCTCTGCCGTTCTAGGGATATATTATATAGGGATATTTCGAGACGTCGTTTTCAACGAGAGGGATAAGGTTCTCGATAGGAAATTTGGGAGTGAAATTTTGGAGATTGAATATTTTATCGCCTCCCTCGGTCGGCTATGCAATAGTATTGTCGATCAATATTTATGAATGGTCGTTATTAATTTCACGATGATATGGATGAATGTGTGTGTGTGTGTGTGTGTGTGTGTGTGTGTATGTGTTTTAATTTATTCCCCCCCGAAGTTTTTGTTTTTCGTCGGGCTGTGAAATAATACAACGGGTTTTTCGAACATCTTCTTATCGTTTTTAGTCTTTTTAATATTGTTTATCAGATATATCAGGCAATAATGGATTGTTTTAAGAAATTGGTGAGTCAGATTACGGCATTGTTGCACAAAATAAAATCGATCGATTTTCGCAAATTTCTAAAAATTTCTTATTCCAAATACGTCATCATCTTCGAATTCAGAATAAAATTTCTCGTAAAATCAATTCTTTCATTGTGTACGAATGAAAAATTTTGGAATCCAACCCCTATTAGGAAACAATGAATACTCTCCTTAAGTATATTTTATTCCTCAATCGTAAGATAAAAAAAAAAAACTTGTAGAAAAGATTGCGGGAATCGGCAATAGAATTGGTGGAGAATTTGCAAAATTGAGAGGGGCGATAAACAAAATAAATAGCCGGGGAGGGCCGAGTATGGGCGCATTCAAGCCTCGTTTAGATTCTATTTTCGCGCCGCTATTTCCGCTTGAAAAGATCCGCGGATCTAGAGGCATGGCCACACGTTCTCCAAACATAGTATCGCTGGCCAAAATCCGATCGAACGATTTTCGAGCCAATAAACAGGCAAACGGCTCGTGTTTCGGCTTTATTTACCCTCAAGGCCTTCGTGGGTTAAAAAAAAAAAAAAAAAATATAGAAGAAAAAAAACGACAAAAGTGGCCGAATAAAAGGATTTTTCTTTTTCTCTAATGGAAAAATTAAACATTTTCGTTCGATCGCCATTGTCTCGTATTAAAATTGTCAAAGACGAGGGGGAAACGGAGCTTAAATGGGATATCACTTTATTCTTATTATTTTATTATTATCCGAATCGAGAAATTCTATTCAATTTTTTTGGCTGTGCAGAGGATAAAACGTGGAGAAACGTATCGATCCTCCAAGGAAAACTTTGCGCGGATGTGATTTGGATTTTAGGTTCGAAAAATTCTTTCGAGGAGAGGGAACTTTTTTGGAACAAAAATTGGGTTGCCGACTATTTGCCAATGATGGCGAATGGATGCTGACGAGATAGGAGGGCCTCGAAACCGAATCAATTTCGAGACGTTGGAAAACAATTTTTCATTCTCCTCCCGATATCTCGAGGATTGCCGATATGGATCTTTAATGAAATTTGCGGATCGACTTCCGGCAGAATGGGGCTGAGAAATGAGAATTTTTATCGGGCGGTGCGCCATTTTGTTGAGTTGACAATAACTCGGACGGCGAGAATTCGATTTCTATCTCTGAATTTAATTATCGAATTTAACGTACTCTATTTTTTTTTAACTCTTGTGATTTATTATATTTAATTGTTTCGAGCGAAAGAATCCTCGAACTTTTTTCCACTCATTGATCGTTATTATTTTTCTAAATTTCTAAATTTAATGAATGGTAGGATACAAATTTTCATATCTCTTTCTTATTTCACGTCAACCGAGAACGCCATCTCTGTGATAAAATCGTTGTGAAACGAAACCTGATTTATCCTTCGAACACGGCAAACAAATGGCGAGAGATCGGCTCGCGACAAGAATTCATAGAGGCGGCGCTCGTATGTATATAACCCAAAGGGGATCGGAGAATGGGTGGAAAAACAAGGTGGCGTATCGAGGACGCGACAAGTCGTTCGTAAATCTCCAAAACGATTGGATGGTCGTCGTGTGTGATGTAAAAATAATATATAAAATAGATCTAATATTCAAACAGCGTGATTATTGATCAATTTATTAAAATTATAGATGGAATTATTGTCGACTAATAATTTGAAAATGTCTCCTGTTTTATTATTAATTCGAAATTGATTCGAAAGCATAATTTTACTTGCTCTAATTAGTGTAAATTGTATAAGAAAAGATTTTTTATGGAGAATGTTCAAGAAAAATTTCAAGTGTAATTTTCAATTTCCTTTGAAAATTCGGATGAAAGTATAAATCGAATAAAAGTGAGGTTATGTTCGGATTTTCTAATTCGATACTTTCATATCGTGCTTCCAAATCGTGATAAAATGTTGGGAGGAATTTTCGAAGGCATTTTCGAAATTATATATATTCCATGTTAAGATTAACGCAGGGATTAGATTTGGCGAAACAGTATTAAATCATCCACCATATGAAGATAATTTAATCCTTTGCAGTCGGGGGTTATGTTTGACATTTTACGGTTCGGTATTTAATGAGCTACCCTCTCTTCAGTCATACGATCATGTTTACATCGAATTGATTATGGGTGTATTTGTACTTCTATATATATATATATATATTAATCCGTTTCGTAAAATTACGTTATAAACACGTAATTCGAACGATATCGCGGAAACAGATTTCTAATAACGACACAGATTAATTCCAAAATTTCGTTTAACAAAACCAATCTAATAAAACGTGATATATATATATAATCATTTTTCCATTCATGCAGGGCCAAATAAGAAATTAGAAATTTCCATATTAATTCACATTCTCATACAAAATATGAATCAATTTCAGAAAGATCAGAAACATTTTTTCCCTCCAAGAATAATTATTTCACGAAAATTAAAAAAAAAGAGAAACCATTCTTTGCAATCGCAAAGCATGGTTGAACGCGTACATATCCCAACGATAACGATCTCTCAGCAACGTCATAATAACTCCATCCCCCCCCCCCTCTTTTTTTTGTATAAATTTCCAACGCGGAAACGCGTATAATTCCCGGAATCCTTTCTTGGCTCGTCTCCTTTTATTTCCCGGCTCGATTCTCTCGAGCAACCGGCCAGAATTACTTTGTATTCCACGCGGCTATCGACCTTCCATCTAACCCTCTCCCCCTCGCGTCTAAATCTCGATCGGACTGTATTCTCCACACCCCACTCCTCCCCCCTTGCATCCGTCGTTGCAATCATTTATATGCATCGCGACGTCTCCTCTCGCCCGCTTTACAAACTGCACCGGATACAAGCTCTTTTCAAGCGTTTCCGCCGATCCTGACGGCGAAGCCTCGACGAAAGAAACGTCACCACTTAACTCGAGTGATGAAGAATAAAACGAAAATTGGATTTTCTTTTTTTTTTCTTTTTTGAAATTTTCAATTTCGTACTTTCGTGTTGTTGCGTAATTTTGTATTTTGCAAATTTTCTTTTTTTTTTTTCTTTTGTTAAATTGTCGAATACGTTCGATCGAATGATTATGAGATAATTATTGAATAATTTCGATCGATGATGCACGTAGGAGGAAATTTCTGTGTTAACCGGCCATTAGGCAGAATTGAATTTAGCTATTTAATCGGGAGGGAGTGAATTTATGCTGGAAATTGTGCCTCGATAGAGCGAGATATCTGAAATTATGTTAATTATTACATTGAATGCGGGGGTGAAAATCATTCGAAAAACGATAAAGATGGATTCGGTAATTTAGAAATATTGGCGGAATAAGTGGAAAAGTGATTAAGAAAAATCTTCAAATATCCCTCTCCATATTTCTGACCTTAATTGATTTGCACATTCACCCAACCATCTTCATAAATCACGGAGAAGAAAAACAATCTTCGAATCTTCCGCAATCTTCGCAGATCGATCAAAGCCCCCTTCCACAGCCCCATTTTTCACGGGTTGGGAACCGATTTTCTGAAAAAGTTAAATAGAATCGAGCCGGGGAAAGGAAGGAAATTAATCGAATTTCGAGCGTTGGGATGGAAGAATACATTTCCACCGAGCCCATTCTGTAAACCGAGTCGAGTCAACTTCCGGGTTGAGGAACGATATCCCGAAGCGTGGAAAGGGGGCCGCAAAGTAAGTTGCTCCTAGCTATCAGATTTCTCCCAGCAGTGGGTTGTTTCAAGCGGGCGAGAACTTGGTCCAGAATGAAGCAACGAAAATCCTCCTCTTGTTCCTCGATCGAATTTTTATCTACGAGAAGCAGAGAAGAAATTTCTCGCAACGAGAAATAACCATCGTTCCAATTGATTGGATCGTTTTATAGCAGTCGTGGATCGAGAGAAAGTGATGAAACAAAATTTACTCCACGTAATGTAAACAAGCCTCTAATATGTTTCGCAGATTTCCAAGTCGAATTCGCACGACGTGACGCTGGTCGACGTGTCGAGGAAGATGACGGGGATGTACAAGTGCGAGGTGATGGGCGGCAAGCCCTTGTATCACGCGCAGATCAAAAGGGCCAGGATGGAGGTGGTGGGTGAGTTGAACTCGGCCGAGAATTAAAAACTTTCCAACCGATAGGTAGACAAATCCTCCTCCCCCTCTCCGTTGCTGAATCGCGCCTCCCCTGTAATGCGGCGCACGTGCCGCCCTACGTGCGTCCCATTTTCATGTTGGATCGCGGCACGTTTTCCCGGAGACCACCTCCTGAACCTAGCAAAGCGAGAACTCCTTCTCCTCCAATAAAAATCCAAGGCCCCCCCCCTTCAATTATCCTTGGACTGGTGTGTAGAGGGGTTGTTGAGGAAAGATGACGCGACTGGAAAAAATTAATTGTGATCTAGCTCGAACAATGGTCGAATAAGACAATCGTGCTAGGCAAGTGTATAACTAATTGGTTAGACAAGTTAGTTAGTTGGAGACACTATTAATCCACTCGTATAGTCGCCATTTTATTATTATATTCTTGTTGCAATGTTTTCTTTCAGTCTCTGTTTAATGAAAAAAAATGAAAGATTTTCTCTTTTGTCTAATTTCGAGGGGAATATCCAATTTGGAAGTTAGTTTTGTTTATCTTTTGAAAAATTTTTCAAATTTTACTAAAAGTTAGCTCGTAACATATTCCCAGAAAAATGTGAAAAGTGATCGCGAGTTGATCGGCAACCTTCTTAAATATAAGTGCAAAGATAATTTCTATCTATATCGAATAATTTTGTGTGCCAACCCCTCGCCTCGATCCTCGCCCGATTGGCGATGGTCCAAAGGCGAGTCGATTTAGCAGCGACTAAACGACTTAATTATCATTGTGCCCTTAGACGCGCCGAAAACGGACCCGACGATCGACACCGAGAAGGAGAGGATCGCCGTGGGCGAGCTGCTACGAGCGAACTGCACCACTGGCAGCTCGAGGCCCGCCTCCGCCATTACCTGGAAGTTGAACAAGGATCCCGTGAGTATATCGCCTCCTCTCTCGCCCTCCTCGACGAGCGTAGCTACGTGACCTTACTCGATGATCGAGGGAAGCGAACCACCCTTCGACCACCTTCCCTTCCATTACCTTTTTACCCCCGTTCAGGTGTGCTCTCGTCGTCGACACGAGATGTTTCTTCCCTGGAATTATTTGGAAAGGAAAGAGGGATTTTGAAAGGACGCGAGGTGGATTTTTAATTAAATAATATTGGGTTATGATTATTTGGAAGGATCGATGGGATTCGAGGAATTTTAATGATCTCGCTTCTCTACTATATTGTGCAAATAACTTCTTCAAGATTTTATTACGCAAACCAGGTACAATATTATGCAACTTTTCGCCAATTCTTCTCCTCGAGCGATTCTTCTAACTCACCGCCATCAAACTTTCTCACGCGCGCCTGAACGATCTTCCAAATTAAAATTTCCAGCTTTACGATGTTTCTGTAAGATACAGCGTCTCTCACAAACCATTTCGATAGTTTTAACGGCCGATTTTTCTAAGCTGGAATTGTAAACGAATGATGCTTCATGGCGGCTCTTCTTAAAAAGGAAAGAACGGTCTTTCAAGATGGCGCCACGAGCGATGCAAGTAATTCGAATTCGGTGGAAGATCGTGGAAGAAGAAAGAAAGGGACTTATTTGCACGTTTAAAATAAATAATATCTCTAAGAATTTTTCCTCGAATCGATGAAAAGAATCGCTCGACTCGACTCACTTCAGAGAGATGAAAAAGTGGTCGTCCGAAAAAGAGGTGCAACGATTATATTTGTGAGCGAATTATTAATGGCTGGGAAGGGTCGATATGAGCGGGGATCGCCGGGCAAACGCATACTCCATTGTGATGGATTAATTAATTAGAGCAATTTGATGTTCCGCTTATAATTCGTAATTAATTCCCGCAAACGAACGAATTATTTCGCCGTTGCACGTGTTTGTAAACAAGAGTCGAGGGGTTAAACGGGATTCGGGGCAAATGGGTTCGCCGACTCGCTAATTATTTCATCCGCGTTCGAACGATGCATCGTGGAGAGAAACTCGGTTCCCAGAAACTGGTTCTCGATACGATTCGAGGATGGCCTTCTCAACTTCGTTTCTCAACTCGAACTCAGTTACGCTTCTTCGACAGATTCGGCGAAAATATTGAGGACGAACGAAAGGTGGTTTGCGAGCAGAAGGAGACACTTTGTAATTTTAATTTTTGAGCAATCTTTAAAATTATACGCGAAACACTTTTTTTCGTCCGCGCTGAAAGCGAGAGATGTTTATTTAGACGAACCACGTATGCTTCGTCCTATTTCTGTTCCCGCAATTTTTTAAAAAACTCGCGAAGAGAAGAGAGAGGGCGAAGTTCACGTAGGATTTGTGGTATTTTTCCAGTGGTATGAAATATCGTAGGGAAGAATCGTGGAATTCGAGGAGTACTTCAAAATTGATGGCACTCTTCGATGATTTGAAGTTCGGATGATAAAAAAGAAAAGAAAAAAGTAAGAAACAGAAGAATTAAAATCCAAATACTCGATTTCACGAACGAAAAAATTAATAAATTCATATATTTTCGAATATATTCCTTCACGTTTCGTGATCTTCATATTATAATACGATATAAATAAACTCATTCTTTCTTTCTTTTCATTGCATAAAAATTAACGATCGAATAAGAGGATAACGTGAGCGAAATCAAGTTCGACGTAGTGGCAAAGTATATTCACTTGGGTATAAATCAGACGAGTGGAGAAGACGCAGGCCAGTGACACGATAATCAATGGAAGGTCTGACGAGAAACTAATGAATGCCGTTTCCTCTGTTACACACCTCTTATATGGCCGCCTCGAACAACCCTCCCTGTCCAGGGCTTTAATGGGGCGCAATTTGTTACCACCGAAGAATCCGACCAACGAAAATCTTGAAGAAGATCCAATTTGGCGGGAGCATCGAAAGTTATATGTCTTTTAAATTACGAGCAATTCGATTTCGGGCTGCCAGGGGAAACACGCTATAAATGTAAAACAGACATCGGAAGTGAAAAGTTTCGAGTAATGAAACTTTTTTTGAGGAAAACAATGTAGATGGAAATTTGTAAAATTGGAAGGAGGAATTTTTTGATCTTAGTTTATTTCTCTCCTTTTTTCTTCTTCTTTTTTTTTTTTTTTAATGTATCTCTTCTATCTCGTGTTTATTGTGTCGATATATCGTGTCGTATAGATTTATTTTTTACCTTTGTTAAAAAAAATACGACATATACATGGAAACTAATACTGCATTTAGTTTGTAAACGTAACGTTCAATATATAACACTTATAAAAATGCAGAAATTCCAACCATAAACCATCCAGTTGTTCGACATTACGTGCAAAATTCCCCCGCGTTGAATTTTCACGTTCATGTGTCATATCAAATATTCTCGGATAAAAATACAAAAATACACGATCTCGGCGGGAAATTTTGCGAAATTAAAATGTAGTAGGATATGATCGATATAAAATATTTGCAAAATTTCATTCATCTCCTCTCTTTTATACTCGGCCAATTTTTTCTCGAACAAAAAATTTGTTAATAATTGAAAAATTCGCTCGAAAAATCTTCGAAGTTTGATCTGTCGCCTCGAACGAAAAAAAATTCATTCTAAAAACATCCTTCGATCTATCTTATATATACAAACTTCTGACCGAACTTCTCGAATTTATACTTTCACCTTTCGACGTGTTCCAAGCAAGGGAAAGAGAATCAAAGAATAAAGAAAAATATCCCCTTTTCGATTCGCAGCGGCGGCTGCGAATAATCGAAAATCGAGAAGGGGTGGAAGGGATCCCCTTCCCCCCCGATCGAAAACATATAACATTCATCGAGATCGATTAAACGTGTCGAGGCGCGGCGGTGGCGCGATTTAACGGAATAATTTGGTTGATTTAACAAATACCGCGGGATAACGATTTATTTGCATACGAGGGATCGCGTGACCCAACCCCCTCCTCCTCCTCTCCACGCCGATTGGCCGGATATGTATCTCGATGGATCTCGATAAATTTAATTCCCCGCCACGAGCTCGCCTAGTCGTTGAAATGTGAAATGGCCAGATAGTTGCAGCGAGTGTTGATTGAAAAACAAAACGGGATTATCGAAGGCCATCGAGGGTAGAACCGGAAATTGAATGTAGATGTAGACGTGGAGGGATGTAGAAGCGATTTAGATTTAGTGTTGATACAGGGGATAATTTGATTAACGAGAAGTGTGGTCGGAATGAATCGTAAGAAAGATGGAGGAAATCTTGAAGTTTTTTATCCTGTTGTATTAATTTATCAGGATTGGTGAAAAGTTGGTGAATTGAACAATTGTCGAAACAAAATTTTGTCGAATCTTTTCGAAGGAATCATCGTTTGGATCGAATGTGTTACGTAACTGTGTTATTACAGTTTTTTTTTTTGTAGAAATTTCTCTATAATTTGAGAAAAAGGAATGATGTATAACAATAATAAGAACGTGAGAAGAAGGAATGAAAAATATAGTTTTATTTCGAAATGCTCAAGTGGGAGAAAATGTTGAAGACGCTCATCGAGATCTAAAAAAAGAAAAAAAAAAAGATATTGGAGTGGAAGGTACACTCGTCGAAGAAAAACAAGCCGAAAGAACGTGGTTACCATCGTTCACGATTCGAGAAATGTTCTCGATCGAAGCCCTCGAGAATCCCTGAGGACTTTGCCCAAGGTTTAAATGAACCGCAATGTCGCGAGGAAAAGGATGGGGTTATTTACTCGACTTTAGTCGTTAGTCAACCTCTTGTTCTCCAAACACGAATGTTTCTAGTTATTCGAATTCTGCCACGCTTATTTAATGCCTCGACTCTTAGTATTCCGCCTAGTTCAACACGCTCTTTTGCATCGAAGCTTCGTCCAGCGTAGGATCGATATACGCGCGGAAAACCGTGTTTTAAAAACGAGAATTAAAATTGTTAAAAATAATAATATTATATAATGATAAAAGAATTCTATAATTTTAAAATTCACCGATTTCTCGTCTATTTTTATAAAATAATTCAATCCCAAATAAGATCATTATTCTGAATAAAAAAAACCATTGGATATCTCCAAAGTCACGTTTAACAAAAGCACGAAACAATTAACAACGAAAGATTAATATATCTAAACGAAATCATCCCAGAATTATTATATCGAAACAATTGGATTAATTTTAAAATACCTAGTTAAAAATTCCATCCAGTTGTCGAAAAGAATCTCGAAACAAACGCGTCAAACATATTCGAACCTGTTCAAACGTGTTCAAACGTGTTCGAACGTAGCCGCGTTTAATATCTCTTCCCGTTCTTCGATCTTTTTCGCGCGCGCTTTCTATCCCGCTTTCGTTTCCACGCGTCGATAGCCACGTCCAAGATTTATTTGACGAAATAATTTTCCCCTGGCTCGACGTGTTCGGGAAATAAATTCGGCCGCTTTATGGGATCGGATCAGTTATAATTAACGCGCGGCGACTGAAAGAGCTGAAAGCGATTTAGTTTCTCGCTGAACGAGAACGAGACAATGGGGGAAAGGGAGAAAAAGGTTGTCTCTCTAAATGTGACTGGAAATTCGCGTGTCCACGCAGTAACAATGGACGATGGAAAGTGCAACGACAATTTCAACCCTCCGCCATTTTGCGTTAGTGGACGTTGATAAGCGCGTCACGAGGGCTAAACTCATCCCCAAACCCTTTCGCCATTGTCGACAACTTTCTCTTAATGCCCTTGTCGGCTCTTGTCTCGTTTCTACGGTTTTCAACGGGGGTTAACACGGGATGTTTCGATGGAACGGTTTGTCGAGGTTTGAAGAATGGAATCGATATTGGATCGACGAGGAAGTGGTGATTATGATTAGGAAAAATTTGGAGATTGAAAACGTTGATTGAATTATCGTTGGTTTTGAAGATACGCCATGGTTGACCGAAGTTTGATTTAGTTTGTGAATGTTTTGGAGGTAAGTGTGTAAC